AGCCGAACTGCAGAACTGCGGTCAGCTGAAGTAGCCTGCAGTGCTGCATTTAATCACTGCGCCACCTCGGCTCTAAAGAGTAGAAAAATTACGTAAAGAATTATAGTTGCAACCTGTGTTGTTATTTGGATTGTTGATAGTTTAACGATCATCGGTTCACTCACACAAATACTTTTAGGGAGATTGGGAATTGAGAAATTGGCATAGAGAGGATTTGTTTGAAAGAGTAAAATTGTCTAGAAATCTTTACAAAATTGATTACCTGTCAATATCCAATCTGTCTATGTGTCCCAAAACAATGTAAAAAATAGCAATAATTAAATAAAGAATTAAAAATAAAGAATTTTTGTAACTAATGTTAAAAAAGGGAACTTTAAAATAAAATATTGATTGTTCAATTTTTTTACATATCATTCAACTAGGGATGATTTTTATTTATTTATTCATTCGTTCATTCGTTCATTCGTTCATTTGTTTGAAGTCCATCTTACCAAAGAGAAGTCAAATAATAGTAATTATGCTGCAGTTAAGGACTTAGATTAATTCATCTGCCATAGTTAACAAATACATACAAAATACATTTTGTGAAAGTATAGTTATTTTCTTTGGAAAAAATATGATTGTTTCAAATCAGTTTTAGATCCTGAAACTTAGATTGCATATTTATGCTTGTGAATTTAGTAAGTTTTATTTCTCAACAATTCTGCTTAGGCCTTCATTGTTAACATCTGAATGTAATCGACTAGTAGATACATTTTATAACCTTTTAATATAATTTAAAGAATTGGTAAATAGATTAATGTAGTACTTACAGCTAGGAAGAGAATGATCCACAGTTAAACATACAGTTCTTTACAGTCAGAAGTTGATCTGATTAGGTGGAAAATATAGTTCTAATATATAAAAACTACACATTAAAACATTTTTTTAAAAAATAAAATAAAATATTTAATACTTCCTTGTATCTCTGATTAAAGATACTTCCTTAAACTAAACTTGTATCACTGATTAAAGAAACATTTTGGATTATAATTTTGAGAAAAAGTTTCATAAACTCAAGTTTGTCTCGGAGTTGTTATTATCAACCGATGAAAGCTTTAATTTCACATGAAATATATCTGATCCTGTCTTTCCCAGACAGAGTAATCTTGTATATATTTCTTTTTAAAAAGTGATGTTTGGATTAGAAACCATTCATATTATTTTTATAAGGGTTTCATATGTTTTAGGTGTGGTAATTATTTTTTTTAACTCATAGGTGATGTCCAGAGGTCAAATTGTGGATGCAGGGAAAAAGAACACCACAAAATTAAGTTTAATTCCAGAAAATTCTTGGGCTCCTACGGCTTGCATAATTGTCTTCTATGTGCATGATAACGGGGAAATAATAAATGATGCTCTACATTTTCGTGTTCATCTGACTTTAAAAAATCAGGTAAATGTACCAGCCTTCCTTTCATAATAAATGGAGAGGTGGAATTTTACAAACCAACTGTGTTAATAGACCATAGAGTTATATCAGTGCTCCAGAGATGGACTTTGGTATCTTACAAGATGCATACCGGTAGAAGGAAGGTAGTTAGATGAAGACAATACTGAAAGCTATTTCTCTTGTTTAAAAAAGTATTTTCTTCTAAATCTGTATCTAGCATAAACCTTGAAACCGAGTTCCCCTGACATAATAGATAATTAACTAAGTNGTGACTTGTTTTTTTGTTTTAGCATGTTGTATGAATCTAATCATACAGTGTTGTCACTTAGAATAAGTGCGAATTATTTTACTTCAGTTAAAAACAAACAAATCTGTGTCTATCATTTTTTAAAAACATCTCTGATTGTTATAATAGGAATCTCCCAAAATGCAAGTGCTACAGTATTTTCACAGCTACATGATTATTCATTAGACTTCTTTGAGTATCCAAGATATTTGAAGCCGCCTCTGAACTTCATTGCTATGGTGAGTAGTGTTGTGTAACTGTTTGCTTCTTTCAGTATCATTTCAGAAATGGACTGAATGAATGATGGATCAGAAAGATGGAATGACGTTCTTAAAAAGCTACAAGTCTTAAGGCATCCATTTTGTTTTTCAAAATGTTCAATTCCAAATCAAAACTAAAGAGGCCAAAAATCTTCATCTCGATCTGACACGTTCACCTGGAGACTATATGTATACTGTGGGCTATAATACCATGTTTTCCCGAAAATAAGACAGGGCCTTATTTTCTTTTGACCTCCCCAAATTTTGCTTGGGCCTTTTTATCCCGGGGGGGGAGGGGCTTATTGGTTTGGGGTTGCCAGGTGGCTGCTGTCTTACGAGTGAGCACCTGAAGAGCCGGGCACAGGCTCAGGGGCAAACGGCAGTGTTGCGCTGTCGCAGCAGTGCAACAAAGCTGCCATGAGGTGACCACACTTATGAGCAGCCGCCCGGCAACACCACTTTCCAGCCAGGAAGACCGCCACTCACCAACCCAGTAATATCCCAAAGGCGCTAAGCCACGTGGCGCTCTGCCCGGCTGGAAAGAGAGGTTGCACGAGCACTTGTTCTGCCTCCAGCTCACGTGCCTCCCAGCCTCACCATGCCCAATTCTCCCTGCAGGGCTGGGCCAGGGCGCTGCCACGGCCCCGCTGCCACTGCAGCTCCACAGCCACCACCGCCGCAATCCTGCTGCCACCACCGCCATCACAGCCCCGCTGCTGCCACCATCACCATGTTCCGAGTATAACTGGCTTCCAAACTTTGGAGGGCTGCTGCCACGTCTTCCGGCAGCGCCCGTTCTGGGACTACGCTCTATTGTTGTGGGCTGGCTCGGCAGTGGATCTATGGTTGTGCACTGGCTGCTGGAAAACTTGCTGTCCGGAAGACTGTCCGGCAGCCAGCCCACAACCATAGAGCGCACTTCTAGAGGGGCCGCTGCTGGAAGACTCGGCAGCCGAGTTTTGGAGTTTGGAAGCCGGAGAAGTTATGCTTGGAGTGCGGTGGGGGCGTACCAGGCGCTCGCGCAACCCCCCGCTCCAGCCGGGCAGAGCTCCATGCACTGACTTAGGAGGTATCCCTAATGTGCCAAGCTTCCGGAGCTGGGGAGCGGGCAGAGCTCCACGTGCCTTGCACCTTAGGGATACCCCCTAGGTCAGTGAATGGCGCTCTGCCCGGCTGGAGACGGGGTTTGCTGGGCGGTTGCTCTTGAGCGTGGTCACATCATGGCTGCTTTGCCCCTGAGGCTTTGCCCGGCTCTTCGGGAGCCAGTTCGCAAGGGAGCAGCTGCCCAGCAGCCCCAAAACTATAAGCCCTCCCCCTATAATAAGCCCAAGGCCATATTTTGTGGGGGCAAAAGAAAATAAGACCCTTTCTTATTTTCGGGGAAACACGGTAGTATTACCATTTCAAATAAATGCTGTATATAACAGTTACTATTGTTTTAAATAATTTTGTGTGTCTAAAGTTTAATTTGTTTTCAGCTGAATGTAAGAAGAACTGATAATCAGCCACTAACGTCTGTTGAACAAAAGAATAATGTCACAATCATGGTCACAGAGTTAAAAAATTCTTATCAGATACATGACTATAAAAACGAATTACATAGAAACAACACAGATGATGAGCTACATTATTATCCTGTTCCAGAAGATGGGATTATTCAGATTGAGCTTCCAGTTTCAGCTGATACAAGAGCTTTGAGTATTAAGGTATATTCCTTTCCTGTCATTTTGTCTAAAGGAAAACTTTTAACTGGCCAGTGAAAATAATTTCAATATGGAAACTTGTTTAATGCCTGTCTTCTTCCTCAAATGTATCTTGCTACTTATCAGATATGTATGTTTCGTAATAATTGCAATAGAATACAAGAAAGAAAGAAGGAAGGAAAGTTTTTTCTATTGCTGTTGTTATGAAACCAGTTTCCCATTCGATAAAAACTCTTTTTAAGAATTGTGGTTTGGGTTTGAACTTTCCCAAAGTTGATGGGGCAAATATGTGGGATGGGGAGTGCCATGGTTTGCTATGGCTCATTTGTAATCTAAACTGCATTAAAGAGTACCTCAATTTACAACAGTCCATTTAGTGACCCATTCAAAGTTACAACGGCACCGAAAAAAGTGACGTATACCCATTTTTTGCACCTAACGGCT